GAATATTTTAATTTTAACCCATGGTAATAGTTGTCCTTTCAAGTGTCCATTTGAAAGATGATCTGGCATCTGTGAATTAATTTAGTTGCAAAGTAAATTGTAGTTTTACCACTACTGTTACCAGGCCAAACAGCACTGCGGCTTTTCTTTCTAATTTAGCAAAACTTGATTGGCAATGTCAACCAAAGTGGGAAAAAGTGTCTCAGAGAATATTATGATTCTGGTGTATTAGTGACTTTTTTGGTCTACAACTTTGAAAATATGTCAGGAAATCTATGTTAATCATAGATTTTCACAAAGTGGTCCAGAATAAGATTGCTTGTTTAAGTTTTCAAGTAATACCTGCCCTACCTTTTTGTAATCCCATATATAGTCTGTACAGTCGTACTAACAACAACATCTTTGAAAAGCGATAGTATCGTGCAACTGAAAGTCAGGGATATCAAAAGAATATTAACGAGTCATTTATTGTTAATTATTTATTAACAGGATAGAAGCATGTGGCCAGCATTTATTGCCCATCTCTAATTACGCTTGAGAAAATGATTTTGAGCTGCCTTTTTGAAGCGTTGCAGTCCATTGGTATAGGTCAACCCATAACACCATTGGGGAAAGTTCCGAGGATTTTGACCAGTGAACAGCAATATATTTCTAAATCACGACGGTGAGTGGCTGGGAAGGGAACTTGCTGGTGGTGATGATTCCATGCATCTACCACTTTTGCCTTTCAAGATGGTAGCAACTGTGGGTTTGGAAAGTGATGTCCAAGCAGATTTCAACAGTGTTCTGCGGTGCATCTTGTAGGTGATACACACTGCTGCTACAGCGCAGTGGTGGTAGAATCAGAGAATATTTGTGGACGTGAAGCCAGTCAAGTCGTCTGCTTTGTCCTGGATGGTGTCAAACTTTGAGTGTTATTGGAGCTGCACTTATCCAAGCAAGTGCAACAAGATCTCCAAAATAAATCTATGCACCTGCCACTGAGATCTGCCTCCCCACACCCCCTCCTTCATGAACCCTCCCAAGCTATAGATCTTATTCAGAACCAAGGCCAGTTATTACCACCTGCACAAGGTTCTTGGTCTCTGAGTCTAAAACCATTATCTATATTTCATTAATCCCTGAATGTGATTTGTTTGCTTCTTGCTTGCTTAATTCAAAAGCTTTAACTTGTCAAAAGTAAAGTAAAGCACTTGTATCTGGATCTCTTTTCCATTATTCTGATTTTCACTAACCTGAACTAGCTGTTTATCCTCAAATGGAATCAAATTAAACCTACTACTGCTTGCCCAATCTCATTCCTGCAAATTCCTCCAAGCCATATCCCCTAATACAACTCTCATTCTTGGCTTTAGCTTGTGTATCCCGTTTGCTTTACATCACAGGTTATTGCATTGTATTCAACAGCTTCCCTTAATCCTTCACGTTTTCCACTTTGTTCCTTCTTTCAAAATCTCCCTCAATATCATTTTTTGATTAAGTTTCACGTACATTGCTTTGTTACACAGCATTAGCTTTCTCTCTCTGCCTTAGCGTTTGTGATGTGCCTAGGAACTTATATTAGTCTTGCACTACATAAATGAATTTCTCGTGGAGTGTTATCCCAATTGTTTATAAATAAATTTATATTTTAACGGTATTTTTGTTTTGGTGAATCACTTAAATTTGGCCAGTAATTCCACCAGCGCAAAACAGTTTATCATTTTGATATTTCAATGATAATAAGGTGTGGAGCTGGATGATCACAGCAGGCCAGGCAGCATCAGAAGTGCAGGAAAGCTGACGTTTCGGGCCTGGACCGTTTTTCAGAAATGGGGGAGGGGAAGGGGATTCTGAAATAAATAGAGCGGGGGAGGCAGATAGGTGGAGAGAAGACAGACAGGTCAAGGAGACGGGGATGAAGCTAGTAAAGGTGAGGGTAGGTAGGGAGTTGGGATGGGGGTTGGTCAGTTGGGAGCTCAGGGAACCTCGGCTCCCCAGTAATCTCCACAGCCACATTCTTCCTCATATCGAGGTAAGGGTGATGTGGTTTCTATAGGTACACGTGGTCAGAATCCTAAGTCTGCTTCCAAATATCTGCAGATGAGATGGGAAAAGCAATGGTGAGAAAGGGAAAAAGAGGGCTAACAAAACAGGAAATATGTTTTTGACAGGCAGAGTGAAAATAAAGAGGGACTTGCACTCATATGCTGTATCCAAAACCTCAAAATGTCCGAAGACACTTGCCAGCAAATGAAATACTTTCGATTTAAACACTGCATGAAACACAATTAATTGTAGATAGGTCCTGCAAACATCATTGAAATAAATTGAAATTGAAATTCACCATGGACGTCCAGTCCCTATATACTTGCATTCCCCATGCAAATGGTCTAAAAGCCCTCCGCTTCTTTCTCTCCCGCAGGCCCGACCAGTCCCCCTCTACCGACACCCTTATCCGCCGAACCAAACTCGTCCTTACCCTTAACAACTTCTCCTTCAACTCCTCCCACTTCCTAAAGACGAAAGCGGTGGCCATGGGTACCCGCATGGGTCCAAACTATGCCTGCCTCTTTGTAGGATACGTGAAACAGTTCCTCTTCCGCAGCTACACTGGCACTATCCCCCACCTCTTCCTCCGTTACATCGATGACTGTATCGGCACTGCCTCGTGCTCCCGTGAGGAGCTCGAACAGTTCATCAACTTTACTAACAGCTTCCACCCCAACCTTAAGTTCACCTGGACCATCTCTGATATCTCTCTCTCCTTCCTGGACTTCTCTGTCTCCATCTCTGGTAACCACCTGGAAACTGATATCTATTTCAAGCCCACTGACTCCCACAGCTACCTAGACTACACCTCCTCTCACCCACCTTCCTGCAAGAATGCTATCCCCATTCCCAATTCCTTTGCCTCCGCCGCATCTGCTTCCAAGGTGAGGCGTTCCACTCCCAGACATTCAAGATGTCCTCGTTTTTCAAGGACTGCAATTTCCATCCCGCCACAGTGGTCGAAAACGCCCTCGACCACATCTCTTGCGTTTCCCGCACCTCAGCCCTCACAACCCCTCCCCGCAATAACAACAAAGACAGAATTCCCCTTGTCCTCACGTATCACTCCATCAACCTCCGGATTCAACGCATCATTCTCCGCCACCTGCAATCTGATCCCACTACCGAGGATATATTTCCCTCCCCAACTTATCTGCCTTCCGGAGGGACCGCTCTCTCCACGACTCCCTTGTCCACTCCACACTCCCCAGTAGCCCCACCACCCCTGGCACCTTTCCCTGCAACCGCAGGAGGTATTACACCTCCCCCCTCACCTCCATCCCAGGCCCCGAGAAAACCTTCCACTTTAAACAGATGTTCTCCTGCACATCCACTAATGTGGTATATTGTATCCGCTGCTCCCAATGTGGCCTCCTCTACATTGGGAAAACCAAGCAGAGGCTTGGAAACTGCTTTGTGGAGCACCAACGCTTGGTTCATGACAAACGACAACACCTCCCAGTCGCGAACCACTTCAACTCCCCCTCCCACTCCTTGGACGACATGTCCATCCTGGGCCTCCTCCAGTGCCACAACGATGCCACCCAAAAACTGGAGGAACAGCACCTCACATTCCACTTGGGAACCCTACGACCCAATGGTCTCAATGTGGACTTTGCAAGCTTCAAAATCTCCCCAAACCCGACCTTGACCTCATCCCAATACCAGCACCCTCTCTGGTCCCTGCCTCCTTGACCTGTCCATTTTTTCTCCCACCCATCCGCTCCTCCCACCTCACTGGCCAACACCCCCCCATCCCAACTTCCTACCTACTAGCCTCATCTCCGCCTCCTTGACCTGTCCGTCTTCCCACCCACCCCTCCCTCCCTCCCTCCCTCCCTCCCAACTGATCAACCCCCATCCCAAACCCCTACCTACACTCACCTTTACTGGCTGCATCCCCGTCTTCTCTCCACCAATCTGCCTCCCCCTCTCTATTTATTTCAGAATCCCCTTCCCCTCCCCCATTTCTGAAGAAGGGTCCAGGCCCGAAACATCAGCTTTCCTGCTCTTCTGATGCTGCCTGGCCTGCTGTGTTCATCCAGCTCCACACTTTGTTATCATTGAAATAAACGGTTTGTTTGTGGTTGAGGAATAAATATTGGTCAGGACACTAGGGAGAATGATACTGCACTTTTAGAGGATTGTGCCATGGGATATTTTACACCCACTTGCGAGAGTAAACTGAGCCTGAGGGGAAACACCCAGAGAAAGAGACAGCAGATGAGCAGGGCCAGAAAGAAAATACATTAATGCCCTTGAGGTATCACTGGCTGGGAAAGCTGACTGCAGAGACAGTGCGTAAAAAAAGAGAGTTTACACCAAGCGTGTCACTAAAAGGAGAAAATTACCTTAGATCCACGTTTATTGTTAGTGAGTCTCTTCCATCGAAAAGCTCTGAACTGCCGGGCTCCATGTCCAGCTCCTACACCAAGATGGCCGGCACTGGGCCGCGCTCATAATGCTGGACATTGTAGTTCTCCACTTCCGGAACCCAACGGCGGAGACGAGTTAATAACTACTACTCCCAGAGACCAATGCGCTCAAACACAGCCCGCCCCGCAGGATCTGTTATGGCACCATGGCAACCACCAACGGCTGTTTGACTGGAACCAGTACAAAGTTAAAATTATTTCATTGAATTAGAAAAGATACCCATGAGGATAGGAGATAATTGAAATGTACTGGGGAAGAATCTGATTTCCACTGAATTAACAGAATATACTCAGGTGTCAGACTTGTCTCAGAAATCCCACTCCACAGAGACTGAAACATATAAACCAAACTGACACGCCAGTGTTAATTAGCTCAATGATAACAAATACAGCCCGAGTTTCTTGTAAGTGAAATTTCACATTTGGGGTCTTATCCAGGTAGATTCCTTCTAGTCTTCACTCGACTCCAGTAGAAATGCTGCATTCTGGCTGGAGGTCAGGTAGGCAAGACATTTACTGCCCCCATCCACCTACTCTTGCTCATCAGTAAAGTGATGAAAGGTGTCTTCATCTGTGCTGTCAAGCAGTACTCGCTTGGCAAGAATCTGCACACAAGCTAGTTTGGGTACTGCCATAGTCAATCAGCTCCTGCCCTCATTATAAACTTGGATAAAGGTTGAGAGAAGGTGAAAGTGATGGCTGTTGATATCAGGATGGTATTTGATCAAGTATGGCAGTAAGGAGCCCTAGCAAAACTGAAATCAATAGGAATTACTGGGAAAATTAGAGTCATTCTAAGCAGAAGGGAGAAAGTTTGTAGATACTGGAAGTCATTCCTCTCAGTATCAGGATATTGCAACAGGAGTTTCTCATGGTAGTGCTCTAGGCTCAACTATCTTCAGCTGTTTCATCAATGATGACACCCTGTCATAAGGTCAAAAGTGTGGATGTTTCCTGCTGATGTCACAATTTTCAAATCCATTTGCCTTATTAACTGAAAATATTGTGTCCACGTGCAGCAAGACTTGGTTAATACTGAGGTGCAGATTGATAAATGGCAAGTAACATTCATGTCACACAAATACCAAGTATTGAAATTTTTTAATGAGAGAACCTAACCATCTACCCTTGACATTCAATGGTATTCCCATTGCTGAAATCCCCCGCGATTAGTATTGACCAGAAACTGAACTGAAAAGACCATATAAAAATACTGTGGCTTCAAGAACAGGTCCAGAGCATTCCCAGAGGCTGTGAACTCACCTCCTTCATTCTGTCCACCATCTACAAGGCACAAGTCAGAAGTGTGATGGAATACTATCGTCTTGCCTAAGATAAATGCAGCTTCAACAACACTTAAGAAGCTTGACATCAACAAGGATAAAGCAACCTGCAAGATTGGTAACCATCCACCACCTTAAACTTTCATTCCTTCCATCAGTAACACATTGTGGCAGTAGTGTTGTAGTATTGTAGTATTTTCAAGATGTATTCCAACATCTCAACAAGGGTCCTTCAAAATCAACTTTCAAACCCATGCCTCTACCACTTTGAAGGACAAGGGCAGCAGATGCAGTGTAATATCACCTCCATGATTCCCTCAAAACTGCACAAAATCCTGACATGTAATTAAATTCTTCACAGTATCCTTCACTGTCACTGGGCCAAAATCCTGGATCTCGTTTCCTTCTCAGGGGCAATTAGAAATGGGAAATAGATAGTCAGCAATGCACACATCTGTGAATGAATATTTATTTTTAAATTGCACAACAATTGATATGTTTTACTTCCCCTCTTCAAACTCCACAAATGGAAGGGTCAACTTTAACCTTAAATATTTAAGTTAAAATTGCTAACCGTAGAAATTAGGATTTACTGTGAATATCCATCCCATCAAATAGTAGTCAGCCTTTTCTAGAAGTGGATATGTTCAGTTTTTCACTCCGATCAACCCTAAAATGCAAGCATTATTCTGGGGAGACTGAATTTCCAAAACAAAAACAGAAAGTGTTGGAAACATTTGGCAGGTATGCAGCAGTCAGTCTGGTAACTAAATTGTTCTTCAGTCTGAAGGCGTCATATTTGACTCAAATTGTTAATTCTGTTCTCTGTTCTCAGCTGCTCTGAGACTCGCTCCAGTATTTTCTCTTTTATTCTTGATGTGTACTATTACACATAAAGGCACAAACACACCACATTTCTAGTGAAATGGACCATTCACAAAAACGTACTACAAAGGCATGTAAGTCTGCAACTGAGCTATGATTTGCAGTTTTACAGGGTTAATAAGATACCATTGATGGTACTATTTGTATCTAAAGAAAAGAAAAAAAAATTATTCTTCTAGATACTACAATCATTGTCTGTAATACAATTTGAAGCACTAAAAGCACTTGGGAGTCCTGGTTCAGGATTCTCTTAAGGTTAACAAGCACGTTCAGTTGGCAGTTGGGAAGCCTCTAATTCAGTGTCGGGAGTCACGAGAGCGCAAGCCAGAGGGCAGCCGGGAAGGTAAGATTTCTGTATGAAAAACTTCCCTCATGAATAGGCGGAGCGAAGGCTGAGCAAGAGCAAACATGGAGACAGGGATTGCTGGGTAAGTGAACTAATATATTCAGGATTAGTACTGGTGCCATGGGCTAGTGAAGCTAGAAATAGAGAGCGAGTGCAGCTGGACACGTGACTACGTGGTGTAGGAGGGAGAGCTTCAGATATGTGTATCATTGGGATACCGTCTGGGGAAGGTGGGACCTATACAAGAAGGATGGTTTGCACCTGAACTGGAGGGGCACCTAAATCCTGGGCAGGAGGTTTTCTAGAGCTCTTTGGGAGGGTTTAAACTAGTTTGGTAGGGGATGGGAACTGGAGCTATGGATCAGACGATGGGGTAGCTGGTGTACAGGCAGCTACAGCCTGCAGAGAGTCTGTGAGGAAGGATAGACAGTTGACAGAGCAAAGTTGCAGTCAGAGCAACAAGTTGAAGTGTGTCTGTTTTAGCGCAAGAAGTGTCAGGAATAAGGGTGATGAACTTAGAGCATGGATCAGTACTTGGAGCTACGATGTTGTGGCTATTACGGAGACTTGGATACCACAGAGGCAGGAATGGTTGTTGGATGTTCTGGGGTTTAGATGTTTCAAAATAAATAGGGAGGGAGGTAAAAGAGGTGGAGGAGTGGCATTGCTAATCAGGGATGTTATCACAGCTGCAAAAAGGGAGGTCGTCAAGGAGGGTTTGTCCATTGAGTCAGTACGGGTGGAAGTCAGAAACAGGAAAGGAGCAGTCACTTTATTGGAAGTTTTCTATAGATTCCCAGTAGCAACAGAGACACTGAGGAACAGATTGGGAGGCAGATTTTGGAAAGGTGCAGAAGTAATAGGGTTGTTGTCATGGGTGACTTCAACTTCCTCAATATCGACTGGAACCCCCTAATTTGGATGGAGCAGATTTTGTCAGGTGTGTCTAGGAAGGATTTCTGACTCAATATGTAGATAGGTCGACTAGAGGGGAGGCCGTATTGGATTTGGCACTTGGCAACGAATCAGGCCGAGTGTCTGATCTATCGGTGGGAGAGTATTTCGTTGATAGTGATCACAACTCCCTGACCTTTACTATAGTAATGGAGAGGGATAGAAGCAGATGGTATGGGCAAGTATTTAATTGGGGGAGGGGGAATTACAATTCTATTTGCTTCGGTATTCACCAGTGAGAGGGACCTTGATGTTTGTGAGGACAGCGTGAAACAGGCTGATATGTTCGAACAGGTTCATGTTAGGAAGGAGGATGTGCTAGAAATTTTGAAAAACATGAGGATAGATAAGTCCCCTGGGCCAGACGGGATATACCTAAGGTTGCTACGGGAAGCGAGGGAAGAGATTGCTGCGCCTTTGGTGATGATCTTTGCATCCTCGCTGTCCACTGAAGTAGTACCAGTTGATTGGAGGATGAAAAATGTTATTCCCTTGTTCAAGAAAGGGAATAGGGATAATCCTGGGAATTATAGACCAGTCAGTCTTACTTCTGTGGTGGGCAAATTATTGGAGAGGATTCTGAGAGATAGTATCGATGATTGTTTGGAAAAGCATAGTTTGATTAGAAATAGTCAGCATGGCTTTGTGAGGGGTAGGTCATGCCTCACAAGCCTTTTTGATTACTTTTGAGGATGCGACAAAACACATTCATGAAGGTAGAGCAGTGGAAATGGTTTATATGGATTTTAGCAAGGCATTTGATAAGGTTCCCTATGGTAGGCTCATTCAGAATTTAAGAAGGCATGGGATTCAGGGAAATTTGGCTGTCTGGATACAGAATTGGCTGTCCAATAGAAGACAGAGTGTGATAGAAGATGGAAAATATTCAGCCTGGAGCTCGGTGGCCGCAGGGATCTATTCTGGGACCTCTGCTCTTTGTGATCTTTATAAATTACTTGGATGAGGAGTGGAAGGGTGGGTTAGTAAGTTTGTTGATGACACAAAGGTTGGTGGAGTTGTGGATAGTGTGGAAGGCAGTTGTAGGTTGCAACGGGACATTGACAGGATGCAGAGCTGGGCAAAGAGGTGGCAGATGGAATTCCACCCAGAAAAGCGTGAAGTGCTTCATTTTGGAAGGTCGAATTTGAATGCAGAATACAGGGTTAATGGCAGGATTCTTGGCAGTGTGGAGGAACAGAAGGATCTTGGGGTCCACGTCCATAGATCACTCAAAGTTGCCACCCAAGTTGGTAGGGTTGTTAAGAAGGCGTATGGTGTGTTGGCTTTCATTGGCAGGATGATTGAGTTTAAGAGCCGCGAGGTTATGCTGCAGCTCTAAAAAACCCTGGTTAGAACACACTTGGAATATTGTATTCAGTTTTGGCTGCCTCATTGTAGGAAGGATGTGGAAGCTTTAGGGAGGGTGCAGAGGAGATTTACCAGGATGCTGCCTGGACTGGAGGGCAGGTCTTATGAGGAAAGGTTGAGGGAGCTAGGGCTTTTCTCATTGGAGCAAAGAAGGATGAGAGGTGACTTGATAGAGGTGTACAAGGTGATGAGGCATAGATAGAGTGGATAGCCAGAGACTTTTTCCCAGGACAGAAATGACTATCATGAGGGAGCATAACTTCAAGGTGATTGGAGGAAGGTATAAGGGAGATGTCAGAGGTAGGTTCTTTACACAGAGAGTGGTGCGTGAGTGGAATGCACTGCCAGTGGTAGTAGTAGAGGCAGATACATTAGGGACATTTAAGCGACTCTTGGATAGGCACATGGATGATAGTAAAATGTAGGGTGCGCAGGTTAGTTTGATCTTAGATTAGGATAATAGGTCGGCACAACATCATGGGCCAAAGGGCCTGTACTGTGCTGTTCTATGTGTATGCAATGTTAGAATTCATATCAAGAGGGGTAGAATGCAACAGCAGTGATGTACTGCTGAGTCTGTATAAGGCTCTGGTCTGACTGCATTTAGAGTATTGTGAGCAATCTTGCTGTATCTAAGTAAGAATGTGCTGGCATTGGACAGGGTCCAGAGGAGGTTTTCAAGAATGATCCCAGGGATGAAGGGCTTGTCATATCAGGAGTGGTTTAGGAATCTGGGTCTGTACTTGATGGAGTTTAGAAGGATGAGAGGGGGGAATCTCATTGAAACGTACTGAATACA